GCAGGTCTAGGTGGCCCACGGGGGGATGCAGCGAGCACCCTATGTGCTTCCCAGTCTCTTTCAGTTCCCTAAGAGGAAAGATCTCGTGAGTGGGGACCGTGTGGCCTATGCCATCTGTATCCTTGGCAGCTACCAAACACAAGTAGCTGCCACAGATGAGCTCCTTGCCAGAAGAATTTGCTCATGGCCTTTTCTCCCTGCCACCCCCACCCCCCAGCCCCTCTCCGTAGAGTAGAAGCAACGCTGCTATGGGGGTGACCTCTCAATTTTTGAGGGTGGTGTTTGTCCTTGTGAGTGTCCACCAGCCCCCTGTGCCTCCCACTCTGCCCCCGCTCAGTCCCTCCGGATGAGGTGAGACCTCTTGTACCCATCACGTGGACCTGTAGCCCAGAGCATCCCTGGCCTCTCAGGCTGGGAACCAGTGCATGGACTGGTAGGTCTGTCACAGGGCTGTGTCCCAGCTCACTGCCCTGCCTCATGTCTGGCTTCCAGGTGACCATCGAGGTGGTTGATGATCCTCAGGCTGAGATGGAGATGGACTTGTTGAAGGAGACCAGCAATGACTGGTCCCTGACATCCTCTGAGTGGTTGTCCCACAAGGACCTCTTTTGGCCTCTCTTCTGGGAATACACCGACCCTGCTGAGGAGGAGGAGGAAGAGGAGGAGGAGGAGGAGGAAGAGGAGGAGGACGACGACAACCTTGATGGAGCAGACAAGGAAGAGGAGGAGGAGGAGGAGGAGGAAGATTACACAGCAGAGTATGAGGAGGAAGAGTCCATGCTCAGCGGAGTGGGAGGTGACTGGAACCAGCAGTGGCCCAGTCAGAAGAACTGGATCTTTAAGGAAAAATATAACTACGGTGAGTCCTCCTCGGCACGCACAGCTGCCCTGCAGACAGGCACTGCCCTCCCCTGCCCTGCCTGACCCGCAGCCCTGTCCCACTGCAGGGAGAGCAGCCCTGCACTACGGACCACAGCATGCAGGTCAGCAGGTCGAGGGAGGTGATTCTGCCCCTGTACTCTGCTCTGGTGAGACCCCACCTGGAGTGCTGCGTCCAGCTGTGGAACCCCCAATATCAGAAGGATATTGACCACTTGGAGCGAGTCCAGAGGAGGCCACAAAGATGCTCAGAGGGCTGGAGCACCTCTCCTATGATGAAAGGCTGCAAGAATTGGGCTTGTTCAGCCTGGAGAAGAGGAGGCTCCGAGGAGACCTCATTGCAGCTGTCCAGTATCTGAAGGGGGCCTACAAGGGTGCTGGGAGAGGACTTTTTACAAGAGCCTGTAGTGACAGGACAAGGGGGAACGGGTTTAAATTGAAAGTGGGGAGGGTTAGATTAGGTATCAGGAAGAAGTTCTTCACAGAGAGGGTGGTGAGGCACTGGAACAGGTTGCGCAGAGAAGCTGTGGATGCCCTATCCCTGGATGTCTTCAAGGCCAGGCTGGATGTGGCTTTGAGCAACCTGATCTAGGGGAAGGTGTCCCTGCCCATGGCAGGGGGTTGGAACTAGAGGATCTTTAAGGTCCCTTCCAACCCAAACCATTCTATGATTCATTCTATGATTCTATGCTGGTGCTCAGCCCCTACTTAAAAACAAGCAAGCATGCCGAGGAGCAAGGCCAGCACCCAGATGGGGCTGCCAGCAGTCAGACACACCAGTGTCCCAGTGGGAATTGCCCTTGCGTGTAGTCAGACTGGAGCGTAGACTCTAGCAAAGGCATGCTCAGATGAGAAATACGGTGTGAATGTTTAATGGCAAGTGCTGCTGCCCTTGACTCAGGTCCCTGCAGTGACACCAGAGCCTTTGCCACAGACCTGGGCACCCCCTAGGAGAGGAGCTGGATGGCAGATGCCGGTGGGCGGACAGGCCAGGGTACCACAGCAGCTCCCTACTGCAGCTTCCCAGACATGAGCCCAAAACCAGTCAACCTTTTCCAACACATGATGCTTCAGCATCATGGCCAGCGCATCAGGCAGGTTCGGTGAGGATGCGGATGGGCAGTGATCCATGTCTGGGTTGGTGCAACCATGAGCAAACTTGTCAGAAGAAGAGCCTTTGCTTGGGGGCTGCTTCCCTGGGGTTGCCAATGAGGACAGGGTTGGCCCTTGGCTTCACATGGCTGGGCACCTCCACGTGCCCTGGGTAGCACTGGCCTTGTATCCCTGTAAAGGACATCCCAGGGACAGGGCAGAGGTGAGGGAGGTCCCAGGTGGCTGCTGGCTCCCCTCCTGCTGAGGCTCTGCTGAGGTCCACCACTCTCTGCCTCTTTCCTGCTGTGCACAGACTATGAAGATGAGGAGGAGTGGAGCCCGTGGTCCCCTTGCAGCATCACCTGTGGCAGCGGCAACCAGAAGAGGACCCGGTCCTGTGGCTATGCCTGCACCGCGACAGAGTCGAGGACCTGCGACCTGCCGCACTGCGATGGTAAGCCTTGACCATACCAGTGCTTGATGTGGGCTGGTGCCCCGCCAGTGCGGGCTGGGCATTGCTCGTGCTTGCAGAGCTCATTACATTTAATGGGATCTGGGCTAATGACCATGGGGGGTTGTCTCCACAAAGAAGCTCTGATGGGGCTTCCTGGGTCCCCAGGCAGCTACGTGGTGCCCAAGGGTGGTAGAGCTGGTGTCCAGCTCGGTGTGTGACTCCTTGCACCTCTGTCACACCAGGAGCTTGAAAACCTTTCCTGAGGTATATCGAGGGCTGACTGCATCCACTGGGATCTGCATAACCTACAGCCTTGGAGTGGTCTGTCCTGTGTGCCTTGCTGCTGGCCCTTCCCTCCAGGCTGTGTCACTAAGGCAGGAGAGGGGTAGGAAGATGGTAGGAGGAAAAAAACCCCACTGCTCCTCCTGGTGTTCATCCTGGCTCTTTGATTTTGTCTTTTTTTCCCTCTCAAGGAGCAGAGGGCGAAATGGTCTTTCCCACGGAGGAGATGCCTTTCAAAAGCGACAACACCACAGAGCTGTTCAACTCAGGTCAGCCTCCGCCTTGCACTGGGGATTTCGGTGCCAGACCCCATGGGGGGTGTAGCTGGCTGGTGGGGAGGGCTCTGCCAAGGGCTCCCACATCTGGTGTCCAGATCTGAGTCACCCAAACCAGTGCCATGTGCAGGCTTTCAGCAGTCATGCTGGGAAGCCCAGTTGCTCCCACAGCCCTGGTGTAACACCATCCTGCTCTACAGTGCAGTGCCCGAGGCCAGCCTGCTGCATGCCCTCTCCCACGGGGGCATGCTGCCAGTCCAGCCCCTCTAGCAATTGGTGCCCCAGGCAGAGCCCCAGCACAAAACCCCTTCCCTCTGTCACTGCCTCGGGGATGGAGCCTGGCTCCAGCTCGTCCCAGGAGCCTGGCTGCTCCTGCCTGGCTATTGCAGGGTCCGCTGGTGGTGCTGGCGAGGCTATTGGTGGCTGGGCAGAGCGGGATGCGAACTTCGTGTGCCCTCACCCTTTTGGTGCCCTCCCCCCCCAGAGGTGGACAGCTGTGAGAAGTGGCTGAACTGCAAGAGCGACTTCCTCACCAAGTACCTAAGCAAGGTGCTGACGGACCTGCCCAGCTGCCCCTGCTCCTACCCACTGGAGGCTGTCTACAGCGCTGTCCAGGGCAAGAGCTTCCGATGGCGGGATGCCAGCGGCTCCAAAGAGCGCCTGGACATCTACAAGCCGACTGCGCGCTTCTGCCTGCGCTCCATGCTCTCCCTTGACAGCACCACGCTGGCTGCCCAGCACTGCTGCTACGACGAGCACACCCGCCTCATCACCCGTGGCAAGGGGGCCGGCGTCCCCAACCTCATCAGCACCGAGTTCTCCCCAGAGCTGCACTACAAGGTGGACATGCTGCCATGGATTCTCTGCAAGGGAGACTGGAGCCGCTACCATGCTGTCCGGCCCCCCAACAATGGGCGACGGTGTGCTGACAACCCCGCCGAGGAGGAATACCTCTCCCAGCTGCAGGAGGCCAAGGAGTACTAGCTGTAGCCATGCTCAGAGGAGCCATGGCCACCACCGGCTCCCACCCTGGCCCAGCCTGGCGAAGCCCTGGCCCTGCTCACGGGCTCTGGGCAGAGTGGGGAGGATGCACCGTCCATCTCGGATTTCCGAGGGTGCCGGAGGTTGTTGCGGTGCGATCCCTGCCATGCCACCTGGGGTGGTCCCACACCCCGGGCTGCCTGGGCTGGCGCACGGGGAGCCGCAGGGGATGGGAGATGTAAAGGGAATGGGCACCTGCTCCCATCTGCTTTTATTCTCTACGATCTGGCAATGCTGCCTGAAAGCTGAGGATCTGCAGGGTGAAACGGCCTCAGCTCCTGCTGGCTTCATGCCACCTCTGAGGAGCTGGCCTGCTGCAGGCAGAACTGCCTGCTCTTGCCTGTACTCCTGCCCTGGCACATGCTGGGCTACTTCTGAACCAGGGGCCGGTCCTCCTAGGGAGAGGCAGGGGTGTCCCAGCCATGGAAACAGGGCTGGACGCTCCTCTCCTTGGGATTTTGCATGCACATTTGGGAAGGAACAGGGAGAGGCTTAGCAGGGTTTCATGGGTCCTGGTGGTGTGTGAGGCAGGAGAAGAGAGGCTGCTTGGGCTCCCTTGGCAAGCCTGCCTTGTCTCTGCGGTGTTGGCTGCGGAAGGGAACACTGGGTGCCAGAGCCAGACATGGGTGGGTCTCAGAGGAGGTCAGCACGGGGGGATACTGCCTGTATGCGTTTCAGCCCCTCTGCCTCAGGGCCTGGGGGAGCGGGGTGGCAGCACCGATGCAAGTCCCACCACCAGCCCGCCTCAGCTCCCTTGCAGCCCCCTAGCAGGTTTCAGTGCTTGGGAGCATCTGTGACACAGCCCAGCAGAAAGTCCTGCATTTCCCACCCACAGCCCTGCCAGGAGCAGGAGGCAGCTCTTCCCCTGCTCGTGTCATTGCTGGACAGGAGCAAAAAGCACCAAGCTCGGTCCTCCATGGGGTTGGGAACAAGTCAGGCGCTGCTGGGAGCACCCAGCATTGCCCCTCTTTGCTCTGCTGCTGGCTTGGGCCCTGCCCCATGTTGTGTCTGCCCAGGGAAGTGAGAGGCAGCCCAGAGGAAGCAAGTCATGGGCTCACCCTGTGCTCCTCAAGCTCCTGGCCAGGAGAGCAAGCGTGCTCCAAAGGAGGAAGACACACACGTGCTAATAAGGTCAGTACCTGATATCTGCAGATGGTGATGCTCTCTGTTGGTGCTTTGTTCTTGCCTGAGTTTTATTCACAGGCCCATGGCAGTTTCTCCCAGCGTATTTTGGAAGCTCCCAAGTTTCCCACAGAGAAACTAGGCTGAGCATCTTTATCCCTGGATGTTCAGTCCCTGAACCTGGCAGAAACTGTTCATAGCTTTTATTTAGCATTTTCTTATGCATCAGAGAAAATAGAGCAAGTCAAGCACACGTAAAGAAGAATGGTGGCATTCCTAGACTTGAGGTTTCACCCAAGGCTGCTGGCTACTCCATGTTTTTCTGCAGGACACAGTTGGACAAAAGAGCATCTGGGTGCAGACGTCTTTGGTTGACTGTCCTGTGCTAGAGTTGCCTCCGCGGCCAGTGAATATCCATGGTCTGATAGCTCTTTGAGGAGTCTTTCTGGGGGTGTGTTATACATGTTGAGTGTATGTTGATCCTTTTGCCTTGGTTACTAATAGAATATATTGCATCCTTGGTCATCAGTACCTAAGACTTCATTGCTGGTAAAACAAAAGTATTAATGAAGTTTTTGATTAATTATTTGACTATAATTCCACACTCGTATCCCCAGACTCCAGTTATGGGTGCTATCAAAACACAGTCAGACACCGTCCATTTCCCAACAGGCATGGAGTCCGAGATGACGACCAGCGTTATGTAAAGAAGGAAGGCACAACCAAATAAGCATGGATGGAGACCCAGACCCTGGTAGATTTTCATGACCATTACATGTTTCCTAGCCCAAATGGTCATTTGTTCACTAGTTTCTGGAAAAGAGGGAGGTCATAAAGAGGTGGTCAAGAGGAGGTTGTGGCAGTGATCTGTTGGCCTGGTTCTGGTAGCCTGGGAGGTGTGCAGGGAGGCTCAGCAACAGACATGGAGGCATTTGTAAGGGAAGCAGACAAATTGAATGGCTGAGGCCATGGAAGGATGAGCTTGTTATCTTGTCATTTGGCAGAGAATCTTTGTATTTCCTCTTCCATACCATATGTCATCATTAACATCAGCAGTCTCTCAGAGGAGCTTATTTACCATCAGTGCACAGACTTCATTAAAACAGCTTCCCATTAAATATGCCCAGGGTCCAGTATTGGACCCATGCATGGAAGCAGGACCTCTGCAAACAGCCTTTCTTGAAGGAGACATTCAGCCAATGTGTTAGGCTGGCTGCTGTCTGAGGAAGTGCTCTTCTAATAAGGACTGTTACCCAGGATTTGAACTCTCCTCCTCTTTATACTGGGTATGTCAACAAGTTTAACCTCAGAAAAAGAAACTATAATTTCTGTAACAAATAGAGTTTCCGTCCAAGGGCAAGTAGAAAAATTTCTTGCTTTGAGTCCCCCCACCCCCAAAAGCTGGTTGAAAGACGAGTGGCTGTTCTGCCTCGCTCCCTCCCTGGTTTGGATGGTACAGGCATGAACTGGAGCACGAGAAACAAGAAGCAGGGTTGTTCCTCACACAAGCACCTTACACACCGGGAGGCTTTGTGGAGCACCGTGAGAAATGTAGACATTAAGCAAGCGTTTATTTTTATATCCCATCAAAGATTCTGTCCAGCCCACTGCTATTTAAGTGATGAATCTCTAAGCTTCCACTCCTTAAGTTTATTGTGGTTTTTAATATATAATATATATAAAATGTCTTTTATTCGTACAAAATTTCATAGAGAAGAGTTCTTTATTCTGATGCTGCAATAAAGCACTTTATGTATGTTTCTGTTGCTGATGTCATTCAGTCAGGACTGAAGCACATGTCGGTATTTGTTTTGGTTGAGAGGGATGACACAACGTTGAATGCTACGTGTCTTGGGTCCCCAGCCCCAGCTGTACTGCAGAGGCCCTGGTGTCTTTGCTTCCTTCCCTTAGCATTTGCTTTTGATGGTGTCTGGCTGCAAGAATTGCAGCTAACAGAGACTATCCAGAGCCCACCGCCCCAGCCGTGGGATATGTGAAGTTCTGCTCACAGAGAAGGAAGCCTCCTATGAGAAGACCATCAGGGTCAGTGCTGAGAAGCAAATGCATTGCCTCAGCTCTGACCCCAGGTTTTGCTCCATGCTCAGCCTGGCCAGGGCTGGGTGCTGGCTAACCTTACACCAGCACACTGCTTTAAGCAGGTGTTGAGTGTGGGATCGGGTGAAAAAAAACAACCCAGCATCATCCCAGCTGGAAAACTGGTTTGGCAAACCACCTCCAGAGCCAACAGCTAATGACAGCAGGGAGATTTGCAAAGCTTTCCAGGGATCACAACATTTTGTTGCTGTTAATTTGCTGCATAAACGTGGCCGCTTCCAAGCCCTTGCTATTTCCAGCTGTTTTCCCTCCTTCCATCTTGCTCCTTTTGCTTTGAGCTGGCTGCACATCTGTCAAGGGTTATCTGGTACTCCAGCACAGGGCTGTGCTCTGCAGCTGCCTGGCGCCATTGCTGGCCCCTTCCGGGGGGAGCAGACAGCTTCTCTCTGTGAAGGATGCTCTGATCTTCCCGCTGGTCTTCTGCAACCTCAAAAGGTTGTTGCTTGGAGCCCAAGCCAGGGAAAGCAGGCTGAGCTCTGCTCTGCAAGAAAAGCCGCACAGGGAAAAGTTTTTCCCTGGAGGAGCAGTCAGCAGCTACTGTATATATAACGTGCCTTTAACCTCTGCCACAAGGTCATTGCCATGCTGGATGCTGAGACCTGCTCTGAAACTCCTGGGCTATAGAAATCCCACAGCCAGAGGATGGAAGAAGGCAGAACTGCTGCCCTAATTCTGCAGGTGCTCAAGCCCTGGAAACGTCACCTGAAATCACAGAGCGTGTCTGCAGCGGAGTCTCCAGCTGCACCTTTGCCCGCTGCTTTGAACTTCGCGACCAGTTGAGTTGTCTTCATTGGCCAGCCTGGACTGGAGCGTGGTGTGGCTCAGCTGTACCAGCTCCCAGTTAGCAGCTGGGTTCGCTTGTACAGCAAAGCAGCCCTGCCCAAGTTTCACTAGGCACAACTGTCAGCGTATGCTTGGCCCTGTTGACCCCCCTCTTGGCCCCAGATGAGTGGGGAGCAAGCCGTGCGAAGACCTTTTGCCTGTGAAGGACACCTTGAAGGCACGGCTGCCTGGGATGAGTGCAGCCCATCTTTCAGGGATGAACGCCACATTTCATGGAAACAGCTTCACAGCAGCAGAGATCCCCTTAGCTGTGTTGTTTGTTTCAGGGGTCCTGCTCCAAGAATCTGCTGCTTGGGAAGCACACAGGAAGCCCAGAAGGAGTCGCTTTGGGAGGAGAAGACAGAGGAGGATAATGCCAGGAGAGTTTGGCCAAAGCCTGTGGCACAGACCTGAACTGGAAGGCCTGGCCTTAGCCTAGGAGAGAGCCAAGTGTGGTTGTGATGGTCTGTGGACCTCGAGTTAACACTGAAGCTCTGGAGAGGACAAGAATAAAAGCCTTTCAGGCCCTCCCATTCCTGGTCTGTGAAGGGCCCCCCACACTGCCCTCCGGGCTGGGTGTGCTGGTGGCACGGTGTGGCATGCAGCCGCCAACTTCTCAGTGCAAGAGTAGGAAAAAAGCAATCACACGAGCGGCAGTTTTTCGGCTGTAGCCCTGCTGACTGCAGTGTGAACACTGGGTGAAGAGGAGCTCCTGACAGGACCTGGTCTCCTGGGCTTTGCCTTCACGCTGAGGATGGAGAATTGCCCCTGGCAGGTCCTCAGCACCCAGTAAAGCCCATCCTCTGCTCCGCTCTTGCTGATGCCATGCCGAGGGATGCCAAAATCGCACTGGGGCAGCCCTGCCCGATATGTCCATGGGATGG